CCTAGGGAAGTAGTGATGCCTCGCTTTGGCGTAGCCCATCACGTACGCCCATTAGCTCGGTAAGTGTTGTTCTTGGAACGACAAATTTTCAGCTCAATATTATAGGGACCTAGGGTTTCTATGTTGGTTGATTTAAGTGAACTTAACTAATCATCGCAACATTTTGACATCCTAGACATGAATCTAGCATTCAAATATATATATATATATATATATATATATATATATATAAGCACAATAATATATAAAGCATAAAATAGATGCAATTGGAAACTAGCATGACCCCTTGAATCTTCAAGTCTTCAAGGGTCTTCAAAGCATTATCTTGACTGGACCTCATGGAAAACACCGTCTTGAGACGTCTTCGCCAAGCATGCAATTTCTAGTTACTACGATTAAGATTAATCTAAATATTAAGGTACAAAAATACTAAACGGTACGCAGACCGTATTTAGATTTACAAAAATACGTAATGGAACGCAGCCCGTATTTTCTATCCTAGTCGGGTCCCACTAGTTGCCAATTTCTCAAAACCCTATTACATAACAAGCTTTCATTCACTCATTCACTATATGTGAATGGCTCATGCATTTTACAACGAAATATAAGTAACAATGCACAACACGCGAAAACAAGTAACTAACTTAGGTGGTTAATCCGATTAACAGGCCTAATTAAAACTAGTCAAAGTTGTTTAACATATTATGAATTTTACACTAGTAGAAAAAATGAAATAGGCACCCCCCTTTTAGCACTGGTTCTTGAAAACCGGTGCCAAAAGAAATGGGCGGGATTGAAAAATTCAGTTTTGGCACCGGTTCCAACCAAACCGTTGCCAAATCATATAATTAGCACCGGTTCAAACCGGTGCCAATTTATTAAAACAAAAAAAAAAATAGTAAAAAAAAAGTTGGGAATTGATTTGGCACCGGTTCGCCTTAAACCGGTGCCAACTATGGTAATTAGCACCGGTTCAAACCGGTGCCATTTAAAAAAAAAAACTCGGCCAACTCAACCTCAACGTCTTTCTTCGTTTCTTTCATGCTTTTCATTTCCCTCGTTTTTTCCCTCTTCTATTAGCTTCCACCATCTCCTAGCTAGGTTTCACTTACTCCATTGAAGTGGTGTCCGAGCTTTCTCAATTCTATTGAAGCAGTTGCCGCACCACCTTCTCACTCCATATCTATCTTTCCTCCATTTGGGTGTCGTGCGTGCTGTTCATTCACCATTGATGCGGAGACTGAGCGTTCCAGCTCCATTGAAGCAGGTTCGAGGTAAGAATTTTGTGTGGTATTTGCAAATTACCGACCTCCTTCGCAATTTAGTGTTTTTGGTAGATTTGATTTTCAGTTTAGTAATTTCTACGGTTCTTGTAATGTAGGTTTTGTCATTGACTTGTGGGTTGTGAGGGAGCAGGGGAGTTTGTGTTAATTTGGTTGTTGGGCTGTGGTGGTATTTGGTGGATGAAATGGGGGTTGTTGTTGTGGTGGAAGATTGACGCTGTGGTGGTCGATTTGGGGTTGGGCTGTGGTGGTTGAGCAACTTTAAGCCATCACCGTTCTTCATTTTAGATGAAGTTGATGCTGCTCTAGATAATTTTTGTTTGCCAAGGTTGCTGGATTCATCCGGTCAAAATCCTGTGGAGGTGGTCGACTTGACCAGGATGCTGATGGGGGCTGTGGTTTCCAAAGTATTGTGATATCACTCAAGGACTGCTTCTGCAATTGCCAATGTGTGTGCTCAATGTATTAATGTTTGATTCTTATTCATGTGTATTTGAATGAACGTTAATGTACAAAACAAACCATGAAATATTTACTAACTTTTGTTTTTTTGTTTTGTTTATTCTTTTTGTTTTTGTATATATTCATATGTGAATTGAAGCACAAGTTTATAAGCTTGAAGACTACATATTTAGCTCAAGTGAGAAGTTAGAAACAATACATCCATTGTACTTGCTATATTGGTATGAATTATACACTTTACTAATAAGCTATATTTCTTTTTGTTTATTATTTTAATAAAAGTTTTTTCATGCTATTACAACTTGTGTATTATTTAATGACAAATAAATACAACAATATATGAAATGCTTGCATCATCATATGCCTAGATACCCGTTCAAGACATTCTCATTAGGAGAAAGTCTTGAATAGTCCCCGGTTGGGACTGTTCTTGAACGTTTACTCTCACTTAGGTGATGAATGTATGTCTTTTTATTTTATTTTAAGGAACATCTTGGCTTACCATTTCCTCACCATGCTCTCTGGGTACATATATGGGTTCGTGTACTTGGAGAACTGGGAGGAAATGCTGCCTGATTTTCCTTAAAATTGGAAAGTCGACATACATTCACTAGTGAGATTACACGTTCAAGGATGGGTTATGTTGGAGTGATAAGGACCCTTTGGAAGCATATATGCATTTTTGTATCTATATGAATGTTATATGCATGGTGTGTGTTTGAATTTGATTTACATATATAATAGATGTAGCAATTATACATTATTCGTAATATGTTGTCATGTTTAGAGACAATTTACTTAATGGAGAAGGAACGTGGCTGGATGTATGGTAGACGTGATACATTGGAATTCTTTGATGGGGTTCAAGAGTTTTGCGAGAGGGCTTCATCTTATCAGCGCAAAATGGGTGTCGATTGGCTCTATTGTCCTTGTGTTGATTGTAATAATGTGAAGGTGGTCAATAGTGTTGAAATCATTAGAGATCATGTAATTTGTCGTGGGTTTAGGCATAAATACCATGTGTGGATTTGGCACGGTGAAGAAGGAGAGTACAGTGGGGATGTTGATGGGAATGATGTGCAGGATAGAAGCAATGACATTCGTGTGGACGAGGAATACAGGAATGATGAACATATTATTGATAATGGTGAAGAGGATGGATTTGAGGATGATCTGGTGGATGAGGTTGAGGATGAAAGGGTGGATGAGATGATGCGTGGTGTTGAAGGTGACGTGTTTGAGTCATTATCGGAGGCTTATAAAAATTCTTTGTATCCTGGGTGCAAAAATATTTCAAACTCTCAGTTGTGCTAACACTTTTTAACATTAAGTCGAAGAATGGGTGGACGGACAGTAGTTTTACTTCTTTGTTGACCGCGTTAAGTGAGATGTTGCCCGACGGGAATGAAATTCCTAAGTCTTACTATTACGCAAAGAAGCTCATGTGTCCATTTGGTTTGGAGTATAAGAAGATACATGCATGTCCTAATGATTGTATTCTTATCGGAATGAATATGAGCAATTGGAGGAGTGTCCACGATGCAAGAAGTCACGCTACAAGCGCATGAGTTGCAATGCTAGTACGAAGGGACCTCCTGCTAAGGTGTTGTGGTATCTTCCCATTATTCCAAGGTTTAAGCGTCTATTCTCAACACCTAAAGGCGCTAAAAACTTGAGGTGGCATGCGGAGGGAAGAAAGAAGAACAGAATGCTGAAGCATCCAGCCGACTCCCCGCAATAGAAGAACATTGATATGAAGTTTGGGGAATTTGGTGATGAAGTCAGAAATTTAAGGCTTGGGTTGTGCACGGACGGGATGAATCCATTTGGCACTCTTAGTACCCAACACAACACATGGCCGGTACTTTTAGGAATCTACAATTTGCCTCCTTGGTTGTGCATGAAATGGAAATACGTAATTCTTTCACTTTTGATAACGAGGCCAAGGCAACATGGAAACGACATAGATGTTTATCTTGCGCCACTTGTTGACGATTTGAGAAAGATGTGGGACGAAGGGGTTCCCGTTTTTGATGCTCATAAGAATGAGATGTTCACATTGCGTGCAGCTCTTATGTGGACCGTTAATGATTTTCCTGCATATGGCAACTTGTCTGGGTACAAGAACAAAGGGAAAAAAGCATGCCCCATTTGTATTGATGACACACCAAACATTCGCCTTGATCATTCTCACAAAGAGGTGTACGTGCGGACTAGAAGGTTGCTCAGGCGCGATCACCTGTACCGTAGGCAGAAAAAGGCTTTGATGGGACAGTGGAAGAGGGGACTGCGCCTAGGCCGTTGACTGGTGAGGAGGTTTATGCTCGAGTTAAGGGTATACGAACAGTATTTGGGAAAACAGAAAAAGTTGCGGACTCAACTGCTCTCTTTAAAAAAGAATCAATCTTTTGGAAGCTTCCGTACTGGAAAGAACATGACGCTAGGCACTGTCTTGATGTAATGCATATAGAGAAGAATGTGTGTGATGCTCTTATGGGAACGCTGATGAATATTCAAGGCAAAATAAAGGATGGAAAGGGTGCACAGTTAGAATTGGAAAAGATGGGGGTTCGTCCAGAATTGTGGGCTCAGGAAAAGGTTAGAAAGGGAAAGGAACAAGAAACGGAAAATGAAATGAGTTCAAAAAAGGGAAAGGGGAAGAGCAAGGGAAAGGGAAAGGCCGCAGATGCGTTGAAGAAGAAATATGAGGGAAAAGCCAAGGATGACAAGGCTTATTTACCTCCGGCTTGCTACACATTGTCAAGGGTAGAAAATGAATGTTTTGTGCATGTCTGTACGACATTAAGGTTCCATCAGGGTACACATCTGACATGAAAAGATTTGTATCCTTAAATGGAGAATTGAAGCTGACAAGTATGAAATCCCATGATTGTCATGTTCTGATACAAGTATTCCTACCAATTGTAATACATGGTATTTTATGAAAGCATGTGAGGGAAGCTATTACAAGCCTCTGTTCATTTTTCAATACAATATGTAGTAAAGTGCTTGATCCTTGTACACTTGATGCTTTGCAGGCAGATGTGGTTGTGACTTTGTGCCCATTTTTCACATTTTCTTTTAAACGAATGAAGTAACGTTTAAAACATTTGAAATACGGAATAAAAACGACCTACACTTGCCCATTTTGTATGTTGATTTGTATTATAATTCAACAATTTATATTTGATTATAACTTTACCTTACAAATTTATTTATATTACAGCTAATAACGTATTATGTTTGTAATGGCAGGTGTTTACATCTCATGGCGGACGACGAGGACCGTATTTGTGTTGTGGATGTAGAGGATGATGATGATGATTTATCTGAGGATGATGACGAGCTGTATGATGTGAACAAGGAGCCTGATTTGGGTGAGGCAGAAGATTAGGCTCAGGATGAGTTGGAGCATAGGCTTGATGACTTTGAGATTTCAACTGAACAAGCGCCTCTTATCGACAATGCAGTTTCTGAGATGGTTGGAGAGAATCCTATTTCCCACACTCAAAGCCAAGGACAAAGTGGAGGGGGGGGGGGGGGCTGAAGGCACCGGCTAAGCAAAAGGGGAGGGGTCGGACGACAAGTTTCAAAAAATCCGTCGGTCCCATGGCCCTAGAGTATGACAAGGCAGGCCAACCTACAGGCAAATCGCGTCGTTAATATGTTGTTCACGTTGGGATTTGTGCGCGCAAAATCCCCATTACTCTTGGTTGGCGGGAAGTATCTCCGGGCTTGATTGACACATTTTGGAATGATACAAGGGCAAGTGTTTTGTTTGCACACAATTATAAATACCTTCACTTTATTGTTATTTAAAAGGGGAAACTAATAATCGTTTTGGTTTGTGCTTGTAGAGTGTGTTTAACATTCCTAATGATGCCGCCAAGCGAAGGGTGTTTGAATCTTTACTGGCGGAAAGATTCAGAGGCTTCAAGACCCTCTTAGTTCGTACGTGGATCACAAAGATAAGGGTGAGAAGACCAAAGAACAAGAAAGGAGGTGACAATGATGATGAAGTCATTGAGGAAGAACAACTCCCATGGCAAAAATGGCCAAGCGTATCGAAGGATGATTGGGAAGCTTTCGTTCTTCAAAAAAGTAAAAAGGAATCTATTATAAGTTTAAGTAAATCTGATGACAATTGTATAATATACTAACTCTTTTTTAAGTAATGATACTAACATGTTTAATTATGTAGGAACTGAGGGAGCAAAATTCCAAAAATGCATTGTAGAGGCAATACACCCATCGTACGGGGCCTAAAACATTTGGTGAATGGAGGGAAACGTGGGTGAAGGAGGGAGTATACCCCACTGCACTTCTAGGTTCCTCCAAAGAAGCCTCTGATTCCACGACCACTACGTTGATGAGTCGTGCTGGCGATTTAATTTGTTCTCTGCATTCGCGTGACAAGAAAACCGGAAAATGGGTCATCAACGCTCAGGAAACCAAAGAAATGGAAGATAAACTCGTAAGAAACTATGAACTAGTGAACTTTATGAAGCTTTAGCATAAATATCACTTTACAAAAACATTAACTATATTCATGTTGCCTTTTTGTTTTTGCTACAGCTTGAGTACACTGAAGAACTGGTTGAAGGCAAGCTCGTCCCAACAGTAGAGAAGGACACTTTCACCTTGACTTTGGGAAAGTCCTACCATCCAGGACGGGTATTAGGTGCGGGAGGGACCTTTCTAGGATGGGAAAAGGTGATGGGTCCAGAATATACCAAATCAGGAAGATCCCGAGCAAGTGTGAACTCACCGGTTGACTTGGATGCCACGGTGGCATCAATTAAGGAACAAGTGCGCAACGAGATGTGAGGAGAATTCAATGCTTGGGCAAAGCAACTGAACTTGCCGGGCTTGCCTTTCCCCTCGACTACACCGGTCGACTCATGTAGTCACCCGCAAGGACAAGGAGAAGATGAGATACATGGAGACGATGATGAGATACATGGAGACCATGATGAGGTAGTTTCATATCTATTAGTTTTGGCATATTGAGTTACGTGAGATCTAACGTGGCATTATTAACTTACTATTGCACGTTCGTACTCCTACACATGCGAACTCGAGGGAGCTTCATAATCCAACACCGGTTCACTTTCCAAAGTTACAGGTAATTTGTTTAGTTCTTTGTAATTTGTTTGGTTTTTTGTAAGCGTTGACTTGATAAGATAGCTCGGTAAATATAGAGGAAAAATGACTGTTAATTGCATTTTAATTTTAAACTAATCTCTCACTAGGGTAGTCAGCTCTAAATCAGCTTGTTTTAAACGACTTGATAAGATAGCTCAATGTTTCTTCGTTTCTGTTGTGCTTGTTGTTTATGTTTTTCTATGCTGCTGTGCTGTTTTTGATCTGCTGTGCTGCTTGCTGTTTCTGTGTTGCTATGCTGCGTGCTGTTTCTGTGTTGCTGTGCTACTTGCTGTTTCTGTGTTTCTGCGTTGCTGTGCTGGCTGCTTGCTGTTGTGCTGCTTCTGTTGTTGTTTCTGTGTCTGCTATCTGTTTCTGTTGCTGTTTTTGTGTCTGTTGTGCTATTTTTGTGTTTGCAGTTTCTGTCTTTGTGCTGGCTGCTTGCTGTTGTGCTGTTTTTGTGTTATTGTGCTGCTTGCTGTTTTTGCTGTCTGTTGTCTGCTGTGTCTTCTGTGAGCTGTGTCTGCCTACTGTGAGCTGTGAGCTGCGTCTACCTGCTGTCTGCTTCTGATCTGTTGTGAGCTGTGAGCTTTGTCTGCTGTGAGCTGTTGCTGTGTTGCTGTTTCTGCATACTGCTGTCTACTGTCTGCTTCCGATCTGCCAAAATGACAGCAATTATACCACTTCGTTACACTTCATAAATACACTCAAATCATGCCAAAATGATAAAATAAAACTATGACATATTAATCCACATATTAGGCAATAAATACATACAAGATAAGCTTAAATTCATGACTTTAACATGATAAAAACAACATGACAATGCAGCAGCCCCTAATCAGAATTTTCAGCAGCATATTGCACAACAAATTCACCCAAAATCAACCTTAGCCCATTGCCATACACACTCTAAATAGTTAATAGATCAGGTTAGACACAAGATTAGGCATGAAAATTTGGCATTTCATCACTTTAAACTACTCAATTCACACGGTTCACAAACTGATCTGGCAGCAGCACCTTTGCTTAGTTTTAGGCTTATAATCACAACAAAACTTACCCAAAAACATGATAATTTAATTTAGGGATAATCCTAACATGTACTACTTTAAATCAAGCATGAAATCCATCATAAGCAAGGCTAAAGTACATCAAAAACACACGGCACATAGGCTGTTTTTATAGGAGATATGATTCCTTTATTGGAGGCTGTTACATGCTTAAAACTCAACAAAATACATCATTAACAACTTAAAAATAAACCCTAATGATACCTTAACATATTCATAAAATCGGTTTTGTTTTCGATTTTTTTTTCCGGTGTGGGCGTTGTTTTTAATCGCTTTGAAAGTGTTAATTTCTTCTTCCAAATTGGTGCAGGAAGAGACCCGTTGTGCACTTCTACACCCGGGGCTATCAAACAGTGGACCTTTGCAGTTGGTTGCGTATGCTAGTGCACAACCGACTAGTGGTACGGTCCATTCGCGACCGCTTAGGCCACAACATTACTCGGTCGGGACCAATTATGTGGTTGCGGGGTTCGAGTACATCCGAGTACTGGTGCCCGTAGAGGAGGATGAGATTAATACACTCAGGAAAGCGAAAGGTAGCTTTGTGCAATGGCCATGTAATTTCGTAAGGTTGATCAACGAGGTAAGATTTTGGGTTCACTCTTTACTCTATGCCCGGTTGTCTTCCCCTCTTTACTCTATGCCCGGTTGTCTTCCCAAGAGTTGGATGGATTTATTTTCTAACCAATTACGTGATTTGCTTTATCAAATTTAGAAGAAAAGACAAACTTCAAAGAGAAGGAGGGTGGAGCAGCCTAAAATCGTAGATCAACCGGTGCCAAAGAAGAGGAGTGAACAACGGTCGGAGAGTGAAAAAGCGTCGAAGAAGAACTCTTCGAGAGGTTCAGCTATGCAAGCTACTCCACTTGTTGCAGACACGGTCCTTCAATCGCTCTCTAAAGATTTAACTTATCTACATAACCGTGTTAGTATGTTGCCTAGTGACACTCCCGTTCAAGTTGCACCACCTAAAGCATTATTCCACTATGACGACGATGCAATTGCATGGCTCAGAAAGAAGATGTGAAGGAATTTCTAAGTGGATCAATGCTTAACATTTCCCTCATTCAAACATTTATGAGGTAATTCAATGCTGCTCAAAGTATGTTATTCAGATTAGTGGTGATTGTCGTTTATTTTTCCATTAATATTCTATTATCATGCATGCAGAGCACTACCGGAACACTTACGTGACATTAATTCTCCTTGTTAAGTTGGGTGGTTATGCCCTGAGCAGATCTCCACTACTAGAATCTTAGGCAACCACCCTGACGTGTTATACTATGTTGAACGGAGTATCAAGGAATCAGTGCGTGCAAGAGACAAGTTCATATTGGCCCCATGTTATGAGGAGTACGTCTAACCATGCCAAATTCATTTTTTTCCCCTGATTATATGTTGTACATGGCTAATAATTGATTTGTTTGTCTATTGTGAATTTATGTAGTTTGCATTGGACCCTGCTGGTGATTTGTGTTTCCAGTAACACAATCGTCCTTTTTGATTCAGCTCGATTGCCTCATCCAAAAAAGCTCCTCGTGAAGTCCATACTGCAAAAGTAAATAAAGCTACCTAGTGTTGATTATCATTACCTAACTCATTTATTAGTCATACTAATCAAATTTGACCTTACTTTTCTATAGTGTTATGAAGAAGATTGTCGAGCTCCTCAAGGTCCTACATGGAAATCACTGATGGAAATGCCACATGATATTGTGATTTTCATAATAAACAATGCGTAAAAAGTTACTAATTTGCTATATATGCATGTTTGATTCATGTACTTTGTTCCTATGCTAGTGCGCACAACAAGATAACGGAGTTGATTGTGGCCTGTACGTGATGAGATTCATGTTTGACATAGTGAGTCGTTGTACAGACACACTACAGCTTGATGAGGTATGCCATTGACTTAGTTTATTTGCTCTTAACATGTGATTTGACAAGAAATGTAAGAAATGGGCCTTACTTGGGCCATTTTGGATGAAAATGCGTCCTAAAACACTTGAATGGCTCCTTTCATGTGATTTCAAGCCCTAGGCACCTATAAATAAGTAATAATGACATGTTATGAGAAAGAATGAGTTCATTTGACAAGAAATGTAGGAAATAGGCATCCTAGTAGTTAAATAGGCATTACTTGGGCCAATTTTGATGAAAATGAACCATAAAACACTTA